AAAGCTATGGTTTTTCCAGTAGCGATGTATGGAAGTGAGAGCTGGACCATAAAGAAGGCTGGCTGCTGAAGAATTGATGCTTTTGAATTGTGGTGCTGGAGGAGACTCTTGAGAGTCCCCTGGACTGCAAGGAGAATAAACCTATCAATTCTGAAGGAAATCAACCCTGAGTGCTCACTGGAAGGACAGATCCTGAAGTTGAGGTTCCAATACTTTGGCCATCTCATGAAAAGAGAAGACTCCCTGGAAAAGACCCTCATGTTGGGAAAGTGTGGAGGCAAGAGGAGAAGGGAATGACAAAGGATAGTGTCATTGAAGTGATCAACATGGATTTGACCCAACTCCGGGAGACAGCGGAAGACAGGAAGGCCTGGCATGCTCTGGTTCATTGGGTCACGATGAGCTGAACTGACGCAGTTGGATGAACAGAGTCTGAAGAAGAATTCAACAGTTGACCATAAACTGAATACATTCAAAGCTGATGAAATCCATGGAGTCCATTAAGATCTACTTTGCCTGGCAATGCCTCTCTAGAGAGTTGTGACAAGGAAATAATACCAGGTGATTAATTTTTCCCATCCTGTAACAGGAGGCATCAACTGGGCTTTTTTAAAAATGCAAGAATAATGTAAATAGCATTAACTATTTCTGTCTGTGCACCTACCTATTTATGTATGCATGTGTATAAAATAAAGCAGTTAGATCTCCCCAACCTATTTTTATAACATCTTGGCTGATGGAAAAGACCTGGAAGGAATACACTACGCATGTTGAAGCACTCTTTATCAATTAAAGGTGTCGTACTTCATTAACCTTGATTTGTATTTGTTTTACTGCCGACACTATTTTGCGTGTTTTTTGTTTGTTTTGTTATAACATCTTGGCTGATGGAAAAGACCTGGAAGGAATACACTACGCATGTTGAAGCACTCTTTATCAATTAAAGGTGTCGTACTTCATTAACCTTGATTTGTATTTGTTTTACTGCCGACACTATTTTGCGTGTTTTTTGTTTGTTTTGGTCATGTCCCCATTCCCTCCTATGAGCAGGTGTCATTTTTAACACCATAAACGGCTTATTGGGGGGGAACAGAAGAAAACGGCTGACATCAAATATAAACCCAGGCGGCGAAAACACGCATCAACGACCCGACTCCGAAGAGGGAAAGCGGCAACCAGGTTTAGCCACACCAGTCACGGCGGCAAGTGGAAGGAGGAGCCTTTGTCCGCCGTGCTTGGACCCGTTCCCGCCTCCAAGACTGGAGGCTGTTCGAGCCCTGCCATGGATATTAAGGCGAAGAAAGGACGGTCCTTTCTAGGCGCCTAAAATGTCTGCATTAGACGGGGACATGTTTCCAACGAGATAGCCGCGTCACTCTGTTTCAGTACGTATAACAGAAATAAAAAACAGACCTTATAGTGTCGCCTTAAAAATTAACAGATTTATTTCAACACCAGCCTTGGTGTGATTACAAATCCCACCTCCTCAAGCATTTGTTACACAGAAAAAAAGAGGAGTTTCTGCTTGATCCCCACAGTTCCGCCATAGTTCAGGGGAAAAAAATCAGTAAAAAGCTGTGGTTCCCTGTCCACGGCCGACCAGAGCGCCAGCGCATTCCCATGGACGTACTTCTTAGCACGCCTAGTCCAAAACGGACCTGATTTCTGTTCTTAATTCTCGATACAAAGGAGAACAACACCCCCCCACAGAAAATCACCATAGACGGTCGACGGATAGAGCGACGCCACTATTCCTCCAGCGAGAATCGCAGTTAATGGCGGCCCCGCCGTTTTATTTTTACCGGAAGTCTCCTGGAAGTCTACTCTATGTCTAACTCTGCGCTCAGTACAGCCGAAATGTTGCTCCGGAAGGCGGAAGTGAGGATTGGTTTCCGGTAGAGGGGGATGAGACTCGTGTTGCGCAGGCGGGAAACTGTATCTGGTGAGAGGGGAGTGGGTGATGGGTTTTGGGGTGAGGGATTTCTCTGCGGCTCGCTAGCCAGCCTCCAGTCTCGCCGGGGCTGCCGCTGTTTTTTTTTCTTTTCAAACTGTATTTTTTTTGGTTTTTTTTTAAATGAGGGGAGCTTTAGTTTCCTAAGTTTGCAACTCTAGTAGACACACATACTCAGGCGTAAGGCCCATGGACCTCAATGGGGCTTTCTTCTGAATAGGTAAAAAAGGTTGGTATGCACTGTAAGGCAGGCAGTGTTTTTGACGTGCATGTGCGCGAATTCCCGCTTGTTTAGCCAACACGGTTCTCTTTGCTTTTCCTTTTTAGTGACACCGCATGGTTTGCTGTCATCTTTAATGGTGGGATTCCTACATAGCTCTGCGTGGCTTCTTCTGAAGCTGTATGTAGTGTGGGGCCGTGAGTCCATATCGGGTCTGGGACTATTATCTATGTGCTGACGTTGTTTGGTTAGCAGCATATGGGAGAGGATTTTTTTTTTTTGTAGTCCCCCCCCCTCCCAATTGTTTCTAAATGTTTATTTTTCTCTTTTTCTTTCAGGTTCTTTAGGACTGCTTGAATATTCTGAATATTTCAGGTCTGTTTTGGATTCTGTTGAGACTGGAATATGTCAGCTTCAAAAAAGGACTGAGTTGTCGTCTCCCTGTCTTGTCTGATTCTGTTCATAAAAACTTTTCCAGAGCAGCAACATTTTGGTGTGGCTCATACCCCTGCCATAGCAGGCAAGGGGCTGAGAGGGAGCTGTCAGCATGGCAGATACATTGGAATTCAATGAAATATACCAGGAGGTGAAGGGATCTATGGTGAGTGATGCGGTGGAGATGTGGGACTTGGTGTGTGGGAGGATGAAATTCGACCTGTTTTGATGGTGTTAGTTGAGGAATAAGTTGCATTTTTGGAAAGAGATTGACATTAATAGAATGCTGTCTTGCTACAGAGAAACCAGAAATGAACACAGTATCTTGCCGTAGATGTAATCAGTGGAGCAAGCCAGAACAGTCCTATTTGCACCATTCTGAGGCCGATCAGTAGCTTCTACTTTTTTGGTGCAGGTAGAATGACTTAGGTTTGATTTGTTTCCAGTGTGTGTGAGATTCCTGGAGTTAAAACAAACACAAGCCTTCTGGTTGTCAAGGCTTCTTCTAGGGGGAAATTTCTGACATTGTGAAGTACCTTAATAAGAAAGCCACTAAAGTACTGTAGTTGATTTTGAATTGTGAAGTAGCTTAATAAGAAAGCCACTGTAGTTGATTTTAGCTGTGGGCAGTTTCTTGATCAGTTTTTAAAGACAAGGGAAGAAAAGATTAAAAAACAAACAAACAGTAAGATGTTTCTCTCTGTTTGAAGTAATGATTGTTGAACTCTGTATTTATGCCTTAAAGTGCCAAACAAACAACTTTTTAGGGCAGCATATTGTTTGATCACTAAAATGCAACAGGTTACAGCTAAATGTGATATTTTTGTTGATCTCTGCTAGCATTAATTGGTGTTAGAGAGATCAGTTAGCAGCCTAGTTTATATCACTTGGAGTTATTTCTAAATAAGTAAGCTTGCATTACTGGGGTACTATAGTTATTTCTAGCCATAAATCTATGTAATTTACTATGTGATATGAAGTATTTAAAAAACCTACCAAAATAACTCTTTAAAATCTGAATCTGGAAGAATTCCTGTGTGCCTTGTGTTGCAGTCTTTTCTGTGATAATGTGGCTGTGGTTTTTTTAGTGGCCAATTTACTATGTTCATTCATTCTTCTTTGAGTCTACAGTAGATTTGTTGCCCTTGTCAGTCCTTTCAGTAGCCTTGAACAGATTTTATGTTTTGTTTGGGAAGTGTTTGTGTGTAGCGTAGGGGCTTTAAGCACTGCCACATGTCCATAAAATGTTGAAGTGTTTCATGATTAAATTTCATGACTTTTGAGCATGACCAGTGCTTCCCTGTGTGTGAAAGGGTAATTAGGAACAGCATTAAAGTTTTAGAGAGAATAGCAGTCTGTGGTACACTGCATGCTGTCCATCCTCAAAGCTGGGGCAGTCAACTTCAGCAGGTCTAGGGACTAATTTTGTGCCTCTAGGACTCTTCAAGGCCTATGCAGGCCACCAAAAATATGACAAATATAATCACAAGTGACTAGAAGTCCACTCATGGTTTTGGTGTTCAAGGCCTATGCAGGCCACCAAAAATATAACAAGTGACTAGAAGTCCACTCCTGGTTTTGGTGAATAAGTACAGTGGTGCCTCTCTTAACGGGCACCCCGTTTAACGAAGAAATCGCATAGCGATGAAGACTTTGCGATCGCAAAAGCGATTGCATTGCGATGTTTAAATGAGGAAAAATCGCTTTGCAATGATCGCTACCCTGTTTCGTTTACCGATCATTGCAAAGCGATGATTTTTAACAGCTGATCGGCGGTTCCAAAATGGCCGCTGGGTAAAAAAAATGGCCGGCCACTGTTTTCTGGGACGGATTCCTCGCTTACCGGGCAGCGACAATGGCCACCCTATGGAGGATTTTCATTAAAAGGTGAGTCTGAAGCCCATAGGAACGCATTGAAGGGGTTTCAGTGCATTCCTATGGGCTTTTTAATATCGCATAGCGACGAAATCGCTTTACAGTGATTTTTGCTGCACTGATTATCGTCGCTATACGAGGCACCAGTGTATTTGGAGTGTAGTGAAGGGCCCCCTGTGGTCTATTTAAAAGGTGAATTTCCACTGCTCAAGGCTTCCAGAATCTGTATTTTAAGCTTTTTCTGTCAGGGTGTGGAGAAGTAAAATATTTTTGACAGGCTCATGTAGTCCTGTGGTTGTAGTTTGCCCATTCCTGCTACCTTACCTGAGTTCAAGGGTATATTATGTCAAAATTGTAGTAGTGCTTCAGCAATAATGAAGAGTGAAATTTAAGTAATATGTAAATATATAAATATTCTTGATTTCAGGTGTGGTGTAGTGATGGGTCTGTCATCTGTGAGCAATGGTGTAAAACCCAACCATGGATTTTGTACATGGAATGGAAGACAAGGTGTTAGGGATTCTATGTGTGTGCAGATTTGTGTTTTTGAAATACATCTCCTAGAATTAGCCAAGTAGCACCTTTCCAAATTGGAGTGTTAACTCCAGAATTCTCCAAGAATTACCCAGGCAGAATTTTGGGACTTGCAGTCCAGAAACACTGAACTGCACCACTGTACATGCATGAAAAGAAGCGACAAACCCTCTTGTGAGAAAGTTGTCTGCATGTACGTGCATATAAAAGAACATGCAAAAGAAGATGGGAGTGTATGGGCATTCCCTGCAGTCTGTCTCCATTTTATTCCCCTGCTGTGCTCTGTTAGGAGTCAGCAAACAGAAAGGCCTCCCACCCAGTAATCACAGGTGCTACTTATTGCTCTCAGCAGTTGCTAGGATACATCCCTTCCTCTTAAGCTGAGCACAGTGAGCTTCTGAATGGGGAATTCCCAGAGGTTAGTCCAAGTCACTTCTTGATGTTAATCTAAATCACTCACCTATTTGCCTTTGTGTTCTTAGTCTCCCTTTCTTTTGTCTCTTCCTCCAGTAGACCATTTCCTTACTGTCTTTCCTTACTACCTCTCCCCTGCCAAACTCCTCTTAGCATTCCTTGGTCAATTGCTCCCTGGGGTCTATCTCCATTCTATTAACCTGCTGTGCTCTATTAGGAGTCAGCAAACAGAAAGCACATAGTGTGAGTTGCAATTTATGTTAAGCATATGAAAAGGGAGAACTACAGTCATGCCTCGCTTTACTATTGTCCCGCATTACGACGAAACCGCATTACGACGATCTTAATGCGATCGCAAAACGATGATCTAAATGGGTTTTTTTTGCTTTGCGATGATCGGTTCCCTGCTTCGTGAACAGATTCTTTGCAAAACGACGATTTTTAAACAGCTGATCGGCGGTTTCAAAATGGCTGCCAGGTAAACAAAATGGCTCCCCCACTGTTTTCTGGGACGGATTCCTCGCAAGACAGGCAGCGAAAATGGCTGCCCTATGGAGGATCTTTGCTGGACGGTGAGTTTTGACCCCATTGGAATGCGTTGAAGGGGTTTCAGTGGGTTTTTTTCTGCTTTACGATGATTTCGCTTAATGGCAATTTTCCTGGAACAGATTATCACCATTAAGCGAGGCACCACTGTATATATTTTGTGTTTAGTAGGGAAAAGGTGTATACTAAATTCAAAGAAAATCAGTGTTTTGTGCCTGATCAATACAGTGGTGATAACATCAGTGTTATGGAAAGATGAAGACTTGAGGTGTTAAATGAGTGTTTCAGTCCTGAGCACCAGCTGGTGATACTGAACTGGACAAAAAAGGAAATTCTGGGTTAGCATTGGTTGTTCCCTGAGCAATTGGATGAAATCATCCAAGGACAGCATATAGAAATAAGAGTTGGGGATCAAAGCAGAGAGGGGGAAGTGGAGAAAAAGAACTTCTCCCTTTAGACACAGTTATTGTGATGAGACAGGTAGGAGGCTGTTTGAAGGCAATCTTAAAAATCGTAGAAGTGTGAAGAATGGTAAGCAGGAGTGAGATATCAGCTGTACCAAAGGCAGCAAAAAGATCAAGGTGGATGAAGACCAATGATCAGCCTTTAGATTTAGAAATACAGTACTCATTAGATTCCACAATCACAGTTTTAGATGTTCTTGGACAAATGAGGGAGACAGAAACTAGACGAGAAAACTGACATCTGGAATTCCAATGGAATAAATAGCTATTCTCCCCTCCCCTCACTAGCTTTGATCTTTTGATAAAATTATGAAGTATTAATGCTATAAGATTATGCAGACTGCTGTGTCAGACCAAAGGTTGATCCGCAGATTTTGTGCATTTGGTTTTTTGCTCTCCAGAAACTGGTAACTTGTATGGAGTTTGTATATTAGCCTGTGGATTCAATTGGGTGCCGAATACTGAATATCCAGTGTGCATATAAATTGATATGAGCTGTATTTGGGTTAGAGATGGGATATTTGTATTCATTTCCCAGGGTAGATTAATTTGAACATCACCACCACAGGTGGCCAGGCAGATTGGACCCCCCCCCCAGAACTGGGCCGTCCATTTACCGTTTGCATCTGTTGTCCTTCATGCTGCACCAGTTGCAGAAGTAGCCTGGCTGGGACTTATCTGCCTCCCTGTGCTGCTGACCACTAAGCAGCTGAGCAGGGAGACTCATCATCCTGCCTTCTTGACAGATTGGTCAGCAGCACAGGGAGGCAGGGAAGCCCCTGCCAGGCTTCTTCGATGACTGGCAAGGCATGAACAGTGGCAGCCATAAGTAGATAGCCTGGTTCTAGCCATAAATAGAAGGTCCAATCAGTCCGGCCACTAGTGGCAGTATTTGAATTAGTCTCCCCTGAGACATGAATACAAATATCCCATCTCTAATTTGGGTATTTAGCTTGCTCCAGCCCAAATGAGTTTGAGTAAAAATAATTCTAGAAGCAGGAATTCCAACAACTTGAGGCAGCTGTCAAGAATACCACATTTATGTCCAGCTATGTGTTCAAGTGGTTCTGAACAGTAATATAAAAGAAGTCTTTGTGCATGTTTGATGGAACAAAGATGTATAGAAGAAAATCCCATTGTTGGTTGTTGTGGGTTTTCCGGGCTGTTTGGCCGTGTTCTTAAGGTTTTTCTTCCTAACGTTGTGCCAGTCTCTGTGGACGATACCTTCAGAGGACAGGAGTCAGAACTCATTGTTCTTCACATTTGAAATAGTCTGTCCCTACTCCATCATCATCATCTTAGAACTCCAGGACTGGAAGGTTCAACAGCTCTTGTTGAACTCCCAACCTCTGGCTCTAACCAGATACCTGTCCGGCAGTTAGTTCTTAATGGGAATTTCACACATCCTTTTGAATTCCATGTTCTCTTGCAAGAATGGCCACCCTTCTTTTTGTTGTGAGCATTCTTTGTCTTTTTTTTTTTTGTATTAGAATGATGGCCGTCTCCGGCTAAGCCGTCAAGGTGTGATTTTCAAGAACAGCAAAACAGGAAAAGTTGACAACATTCAGGCCTCAGAGTTGGCAGAGGGCATCTGGCGCCGAGTGGCATTGGGTCATGGTCTCAAGCTAGTTACGAAGAGTGGTCATGTCTACAAGTATGATGGATTCAGAGAGACGGTAAGGTTCCTTTTGCGTATGTATTCCTTTTGGATTTTCCTGCAGATCTCCAGGGCTTGGTGCAAGCGGACAGTTTCAGTGTTAAGAATCAGGGCAGGTTGATTCTTAAGATGATTATCTGGTTTAATAATACGGCTGTGCCTTATGCTCCTCTCCATGCCTTACATTAGTTCCAGGCTCTGATAGCAGAGCTGCCAGTTTTATATAGGATTGTGTCTAGAAAATTTCAATTGTTGTGTTATGCTTGTAGGAAATGATGCTGATAAGGAATACAATACATAACGCTTTCTTTCTAGTGCTCACCTACATTAGAAAAAAGTGTTAATATTATCTTTATTTTCTTTAGTCTATGATGTTTGACACAGGATAAATTTTCCTCCCAGGTGTTGTTTGCTACTTGTGACTAGTGACAAACTACTTAGTGGTATTGATTTTTGTACCATTGATTTTCCAGTGCATTAAGTCTGTATTCCCTAATTAAGATTTTCTTTCCTTTTAGGAGTTCGACAAACTCTCAGATTTTTTCAAGACTCACTTCCACTTGGAGCTGGTTGAAAAAGACCTGTGTGTTAAGGGGTGGAACTGGGGAACAGTGAAGTTTGGAGGTGAGTTTGTACTGGGTGAGTGAGAAATTGGCACATGGAATGGAAGTCTAGGAGACACTGCTGGCAGAAGGAAATATCTAATTTTCTCTGGGAAGACAGCCTGTTGATCTTTTGCAGGGCAGCTTCTCTCATTTGACATTGGGGAACAGCCAGTTTTTGAGATTCCACTCAGTAATGTATCTCAGTGCACAACTGGCAAGAACGAGGTGACACTGGAATTCCACCAGAATGATGATGCTGAGGTATCACTCATGGAGGTGCGCTTCTATGTGCCACCCACCCAGGAGGATGGTGTGGACCCTGTGGAGGTGAGCACTGCTTGAATATAAATGTTGGATGAGTGAGGAGGGAGGGTTATTTCATGAAACTTACTGCTCCATTTTGTTTCTGCAGGCCTTTGCACAAAATGTGTTATCCAAGGCAGATGTCATCCAGGCCACTGGAGATGCCATCTGCATTTTCCGGGAACTGCAGTGCTTGACAAGGTGCGCTTCTATGTGCCACCCACCCAGGAGGATGGTGTGGACCCTGTGGAGGTGAGCACTGCTTGAATATAAATGTTGGATGAGTGAGGGTTATTTCATGAAACTTACTGTTCCATTTTGTTTCTGCAGGCCTTTGCACAAAATGTGTTATCCAAGGCAGATGTCATCCAGGCCACTGGAGATGCCATCTGCATTTTCCGGGAACTGCAGTGCTTGACACCACGTGGGCGCTATGACATACGCATCTACCCCACCTTCCTTCACCTCCATGGCAAGACTTTTGACTACAAGATCCCCTATACGACTGTTCTGCGGCTTTTCCTGCTACCCCATAAAGACCAACGCCAGATGTTCTTTGTGGTGAGGAGCAGCAGGTTTCATGTTAAGACTAGTATCTAAGGCTACTGGACTTTCTCATAAAGCAGAAAGAAGGGTGCGGGGGAAAGAAAGAAGGAAAACCGCCCATTACTTAGTATGTGGAGAGGGAGGGCCCCTTTTGGAGTCTTACTCCCTATTAAACATATATTCTATTTATAGGCCTCCTCCCGCTTTATGAGAAAGTCAAACAGCCATAGAAATCCAGAAAGGAAGTGCCTTCCAGAAACAAAACCCAGAAATAAAGTCCTTTCACTAGATACATAATAGTATAATATTTCAGAAGTAGTGATGGGTTTTGCCAGTTACAGTTTGTCTCCTGTACTGGGGTTGCAGGTCCTAGTAGAGGTGTTACAGGGTAACTGAGATGCACATTTGTTTGTTTTTTGTTGATTGGGGAACCACCAGCCCTACAGCAAAATTAGGTTGCCATTTGGATATCCTGGCATGGTTCCTCTTAGCCATGACATGTTTTGGGTTGCTGATATGTGGACAGTGGTAATTGTTGGGTAGCTGAATGCAGTGCCTTGAAATGATTTTCTGTGCTATTTCTGTGCTTCCATTCACCCTAGCCAGGATAGTCAGTGGTGAGATATGATGGGATATGTAGTCCAAATGCATCTTGAGGGCACACATTCCACTTTCCTGCTTTAGGTATCCCAGCTTTGATCATGATCTTCAAGGTAGGGTTGGTTATTATTATAGGGGCCTTTTTTCTATTCTTCACCATGTTGCTTATTTTTTAAAGATAGCTTTTGTAATTCCAAAAGATTGTATGTGAATTACACTTTGTTGGTTGCAACACCCCAAGTCTGTAGACTGCTTAACGTAGATTTTCTGAGGTGGAATAAACTGTTCAGACTCTCCAGATGAGACTGAAATTGTTACAGTTGTTATTCAGGTTTCTGTCCCACTAGTAGCTTGCAAAGAGATATCTTCGGTATGTGCAGTTAAGTAGAGGGGGAAGATCACATGTGAGGGAACTGGCTGTGATCTTGGTGTGGTTGGACCCAATGAGAGTGTCTCTTTAGGAGCAGAACCTGCAATAACGATAATTGTTTGTTTGTTTGTTTGCTTTCTTCTAGATCAGCTTAGATCCTCCCATAAAACAAGGCCAAACTCGCTACCACTTTCTTATCCTGCTCTTCTCTAAGGATGAGGACATCTCTTTGACTCTCAACATGAATGAGTAAGTACCTTTTACCATCTTGTGCCCTTTTATAATGTATCTGCATTTGGCTCTTCTCAGATGGCGTTCAATCCTATCCTGGAAGGTTGATATTAAAGATCAATTCTAGATCTTTTATCATACATACAGTATTTTGCTTGATGGTTGCAGTAATCCTCAGGGGGCTTGCATTTCCATTTGTGTTGGAGCTTGTTTTGGGTGTGTTTGAGAGGGAGCTACATGAGAACCTAAGTCCTTTTCTCAAGCACAAGATTTTAAGCTCCGGACTGAATATTCCAGTACTGTTGGCACCTCAACAATGTCCTGTTGTTCAGTTTTCAGCATCTTAAAGAGTTTTTGCACTCTGCCTTTTCTTGACTTGTAGTCTCTTTTTGTTTAGGGATGAAGTTGAGAAACGCTTTGAGGGAAGGCTCACTAAGAATATGTCTGGTTCCCTGTATGAGATGGTCAGTCGTGTTATGAAAGCCCTTGTAAACCGCAAGATCACAGTGCCTGGAAACTTTCAAGGGTGAGGAGTGCTTGGATGGAGGAGTTATGAACTATCAGCTTGAATATATGTCACATGTCGTATACAGAAGACATTATCTGCAACTAACACATTAAATTATTCATTACTTCCCAGTTGTCACATCAGTTTATATAACCAAATAGAGAGAGCAAATCCTATATGTTCAAATTTATCATTAAGTAAACAATTGGAAAAAATAGCGCAGAGCATGAAATACTGTTACACAAGTAATTTAGAAAGTAACACAATAAAAAAAAATTTTTTCTATATCATTTTCTTAATGTACAGTAAAAAGCTTCTGTTGCTCTGTATGTTTGGGCTTCTTTCAACTGCTGTCCATCTTAGTTATCACACTGATTTTCAGTAATTGTGCTGTTTGCACAAATTTTAGCAAATGGTTCTTTACATAAATTGATTTTGTAGTTTTTTGTTCCTTAGGATAATTTTTGCATTAGGTAGCAAGCTGGATATCACTGGCTAGGGAATATTTAAGAACTGAGATTGAAAGAACTCTGGTAACATTATATCTGAGTTGAAGGATAAATTGTGCATAGTTGTCCTAGCTACCACACTCTTGTTTCCAAAAAAAATCTTGAATTGTTAGACACAACCATCGTATGTAAAAAGCAAAGCAAAGTGTGCTGCTTATATACTGCCCCATAGTGCTTAAACACTATCTGGGCAGTTTGTATTACGCAGGTTACACATTCCCTTCTCTTATATACTGCTCCATAGTGCTTAAAACACTATCTGGGCAGTTTATATTATGCAGGTTACACATTCCCTTCTCTGAGTTGAGTAGTCAGTTTACCAACCTTGGAAGGATAGAAGGTTGAGTCAACCTCAGCCTGGCTACCTGAGCTCAGGATTGAACTTCGGTCAGGCTACCTGAGCTCAGGATTGAACTTCGGTGATGAGCAGAGTCTTCAGTGCAGTACTACAGCTTAACCACTGTGCCACAAAGCTCCTAATGTACATTTAATCAGCCATCGCATCCCATACTGTCAGTTTACAATTACTTCTATCAAATCATTTAAACTAACAAGTATAAAATATCAGTAGCATACCAGCTTATGGTAGTTGTGTTTTAAATTTGCATGCAATGAATTGGTTGTTCCTCTCGTGAAAAATAGTTTTTATCCTTTTTCACTGATTTCTGAAGCTGTCATTGTCTTCCAGTGAATTTTTAAAACTTCTTTGTTTCAATCTTAATTTAACAATTATATATTTTGGTCAAGGTTCCCTCTAAGGTGTGTGCCTGCATGTGCATGACTCCCCTCCCCGTCGTGCAGCATTCCTCCTCCTGTGTGCACCCACAGTGATTGTTTTCACACCCTTTTGGTTCCGGTCGCAACCTTTACGTGGTGTGTGTGGAGTCACATTCATGAGGGGCAGAGCCCAGCCCAGCAGGGCTGAAAATTAAAGGGAATGTTGATTTTGGTCTATACATTTTACGTTGTCTTTCTGTTCTCCAGCAGTAGTTTTACACATTTGTGATTTTCAGAAAGTTGTCATAGAGAGAGTTCTTGATTTGCCCACATTGGAACTGACAAAATTGATCAAGGTTTGAGTTGAAATTGCTCCTGCTTTTGGGACTGAAAAATAGCTATTGTAATAGGTTCTGTGACTGAATAAATGCACTTGGCTTGTGTATGCCGCATATCTTCGCATTTCAGTTGCAACAGCTGGAGCTGACTGGTAGTAGAAGTGACTTGGTGTAGGTGGGCTGTGTGATGGGTCAGCTTTTCAGCTGTGTTAGATAATTGCTTGTTTGTGTGTGAACCAGATGTATGTCAACATGGTGTCTCTTTACTTCTTGAAGGCATTCTGGGGCCCAGTGTATCACATGCTCTTACAAGGCTAGCTCTGGACTCCTGTACCCTTTGGAACGGGGCTTCATCTATGTGCATAAGCCACCTGTTCACATCCGCTTTGATGAAATCTCTTTCGTAAATTTTGCCCGTGGGACCACAACAACACGCTCTTTCGATTTTGAGATAGAAACAAAGCAGGGGACACAGTACACTTTCAGCAGCATAGAAAGGTGAGTGAACTTAACCCAATTGAACCATGAAGGAATGTATGCAATGTGCTTGCTAGCCATTGATCTGACCTACTCATCAGTAGGCAACCTTCAGTCTCGAGAGACTATGGTAACGTGCTCTGTATGGAGGTCTTGGAACAGCGTCTAGTGTGGCTGAGAAGGCCAATTCGAGAGTGACAATCTCTTCTAGATATAAAATATATTTTGTTGCAGAGGAAGGAAACAGAGGTGCTGCTGCCACTGATTGTTTTGCTTTCCAACCAGTACTCTTTATGCTACCTACCTACTATTGTGATCCTTAATTTCTAGATGGCTTCTCATTTTGAGTCTTGATTCAGCTGAAGTGTCACACTACTCTTGTCTTCCTCTTCCACCCTCCTACCACAACATAAGGCTGATTTTTCTTTAAGAGGAGCAGAATTACTGCTAGCACATCCAGTTCTGGCACAGGCAAGTGAATGTAGGAGCTGTGCTTGGTGATTTCACCTGTGGCTTTTCTTCCCTACAGAGAGGAATATGGCAAGCTGTTTGACTTTGTGAATGCCAAGAAGTTGAACATCAAGAACCGAGGACTCAAAGAGGTATGTGTTGTGTGAGGTTGTACAAGAGAAAGGACAGGGAAAGGCAATTGCTGTCTAGTCCTGTGCCTGATCTGCTTGGGGCGGGATGGGGTTTCTCTTTCTCTTCAGAGCTTTTCTCCCTTCTCAATTTCTGTTCTCTCCTTGTAGAAGAAAAAGGTCTGTGCGATTGTCCCCTCCTCTTCCTCCTCTTGGTTCAGGTCTCCTCTGCATGGCTGTGGTGAACATTCCTAATCACCATAGTATAACCTTGCATGAACCACAGGGAAATGGGCAGTAGCCTGCTTTGCTCCAGGAGTGGCTGCTACCTAATCCACCATAAAGTCACTCGCATGGTCTTCTCCTTCCCCTGGGGAGGGAAAGTATGTTGTAGCAGACCTGGACAGCAGCATGTACTCAATTGATGAATCTGCTGGGAGGTGGTGGCGTGGTGTGTATGTCTGCAAGAAACATATGGAGTACATGTGCCTAGGAGCATGGGGGGGAGTTGTAGCTTTAGAATCTGTGCATGCTTTGGGTGTGGAAAGTGTTGACAGATTTTTGTCGGCCCAGGGAATGGAATGGGAAGCTTTATTCCAGTTCCCATGGGATCCCTTGTATGTGTTTCTAGGGCATGAAGAATATGCCCTATGATGAATATGCTGGCTCAGATGAAGACTCCCATGATGCTTACTTAGAGCGTATGAAGGAGGAGGGCAAGATTCGCGAGGAGAATGCGAATGACAGCAGCGAAGACTCCGGGGAGGAGACAGGTGACCCATTTCTTCCAGCCTCAGAGTAGAGGCTGGTCTTTTCTGTTGGACCCTTCTCAGCTCCAGCTGGGACAAACCTCTCTCTGCACTTTTCCTTCATGTCTTTGTCTCATTTTTGTGGGTTTCTCTTCTAGATGAATCATTCAATCCTGTGGAGGAGGAAGAAGATGTGGCAGAAGAGTAAGTAAATATTTTAGCTTGCCAGAGAGGAAACTGTTTAGAAAACATCACTGTGTATATGCCATGTTTGACTTTCAGCAGAGGTGGAAGTCCAAAAGGCAGAGTGTCATTCTGTGATGACAAGGGAATATGGTGAACCTGGAAGGGACTGGTATAACAATGAAGTTGCTTGTGCTTGAAGCAATGTCTTGGGCACTTTGACCAGGTCTCCTGCAGTGTTGGAGTATGGGCGGAGTTTGGAAGCAGGCATATTCCATCATCAATGGGATTCCTTTGAGGGGATGCTTGTCTTAAAAGTGACTCCAGTACCAGTGTAATTGGAGTGAGAAAACAGTTGACCCGGTTGTGTGGGTACCAGGAGGAGCAACGGGTGAATCTGAGAAAATAACTGAGAAAGAAGTGGTTTTATCATTAAGTGCCACTTTGATAATCTTCACAATTTGTGGCTTTCATCTGGAAAATAAATACTACAATTGCATACAGTAATGTTGTATGCTGAGGTCTGAACTGTCAGAAAGACATTGGGAACTTGAAATTTGGGAATATTTTCACTGAAACTGCTGAAAAACAGGTAGGAGAAGAGCAGGCATAACAGTTGTTGTTTAGTCATTAAGTCATGTCCAACTCTTTGTGACCCCATGGACCAGAGCATGCCAGGCCCTCCTGTCTTCCACTGCCTCCTGGGATTTGGTCAAATTCGTGCTGGTAGCTTTGATGACACTGTCCCTTCTCCTCTTGCCCTCACACTTTCCCAACATCAGGGTCTTTTCCAGGGAGTCTTCTCTTCTCATGAGATGGTCAAAGTATTGGAGCCTCAGCTTCAGGATCTGTCCTCCCAGTGAGCACTCAGAGTTGTTTTCCTTCAAAATGGATAGGTTTGTTCTCTTTGCAGTCCAGGGTACTCTCAATAGTCTCCTCCAGCACCACAGTTCAAAAGCATCAGTTCTTCGGTGGTCAGCCTTCTTTATGGTCCAGCTCTCACTTCCATACATCGCTACTGGAAAAAGCATAGCTTTGACTATGCAGACCTTTGTCGATAAGGTGATGTCTCTTCTTTTTAAGATGCTGCCTAGGTTTGTCATCACTTTCCTCAGCATCCCAATCCCAAAGGAGGGCAGTGCCAAAGAATGCTCCAACTACTGTACAGTTGCACTCATTTCACATGCTAGCAAGGTTATGCTCAAAATCCTAAAAGGTAAGCTTCAGCAGTATGTGGACTGAGAACTCCCAGACGTACAAGCTGGATTTCAAAGGGGCAGAAGAACTAGAGACCAAGTTGCTAACATGCGCTGGATTATGGAGAAAGCCAGAGCGTTCCAGAAAATCATCTACTTCTGTTTCATTGACTACACAAAAGCCTCTGACTATGTGGACCACAGCAAACTATGGCAAGTTCTTAAAGAAATAGGAGTGCCTGACCACCTCATCTATCTCCTGAGAAATCTATATGTGGGACAGGAAGCAACAGTTAGATCTGGATATGGAACAACTGATTGGTTCAAAATTGGGAAAGGAGTCTGACAAGCCTGTATATTGTCTCCCTGCTGATTTAACTTATATGCAAAATACATCATGCGAAAGGCTGGACTGGATGAATCCCAAACCGGAATTAAGATTGCTGGAAGAAATATCAACAACCCATATACAGATGATACCACTCTGATGGCAGAAAGTGAGGAGAAATTAAAGAACCTCATAATGAGGTTGAAAGAGGAGAGTGCAAAAAATGGTCTGAAGCTCAGCATCAAAAAAACTAAGATCATGGCCACTGGCCCCATCACCTCCTGTCAAATAGAAGGAGAAGATATGGAGGCAGTGACAGACGCAGCAGTGCACCTCTGCTGTTCAGAATGTGTGTCGGTCTTGGCAAAACACAGTCCTCAACCCCTTTTTTGCACCTCCGCACACTTCTCAGACTGTTTGTTTTTTTGAAGAAGAAAACAGTGTTGCAGTCTGAATCAGCCACTCATTTCAAAAAGGGCAGTGTTTATTGAAGGAAGTGTTAAGTGTGTTTTGGACTAAGTCTCTTTTTTCCAACCCTCTGAGTCAGTTGCCTTCCTTTGTTATTTAAACAACCCTTGCAAGGGTTTTGTTTATTCAAGCAGCAGTTGCTGTAAAGCAGATTTAAAGTCTGTAGTTTCCAGTATTGATTTGGAAGTATTTTATAATTTATTACAGTTATTGTATAATTAACTAGATGTAATATTTAATCAAGTTATAAGCTTTAAGATGCATGTGTATGCATAAAACTACACCTAATGTCCACCTTGGACTATTCCTGTGCATTCTGTTATTGCCACCTTGGATACAGCACACACTGTTCAGAACAGCTGAAGCAGGTAGAGACCAAAAGTCTTGCATAACTAAATAGATGTTTAAGTGATTAGGTACATCCATCTGGAGAATACTCTATCAAGGAAAAGACCTTGATGTTAGTAAAGTGTGAAGGCAAGAGGGGAAGGGGATGACAGAGGATGAGATGGTTGGACAGTGTCATTGAAGCAAACAACATGAATTTGACCCAACTTCGAGAGGCAGTGGAAGACAGGAGGGCCTGGCGTGCTCTGGTCCATGGGGTCACAAAGAGTTGGAGACGACTAAATGATGATGCATCCATCTGGGATCTCAGACAGATTTATCTGAAGTGCTGATCCTTTAAGTAGTCCACCCCGTGTATGTAAAATTTGCCTTGTTAGAAACTTATCTGTTCATCTTTTTGTAGAATCGAGCAGATTAGAGTAGAACACAAAGGGTTGCTTTCATCTCCATCATTTCACATCACAGTTAAGTCACTTAACACCCAATGCTCTCTGTATTCCTTCTGGAATGGCTTCTGGGTATATCTGTAGAACGGTGTGTCATATTTCTTTGCAGTGTATGTAACAAATGCTTTGCAACAATGGTAATGGTACTCTTGTGTTTGCCAATACATATCATCTTTTCTACTCTACTTTGACGATGTAGAATGGCTTGTTTTCGTTGGGTTTTTCTTTAGTTCAGTGTTTTTGTGGTATAAAGCTTAGTTACAGAATATATGAGAATTGTAGTGAAGATATTGAAGATATGTTAAGTGTAGGATGTTACTCAAGTTTGAGAGAGACTGATCATGCACACTTGCTTACAGAGAAGTTGGGATTTGTTAGTAGGGACAAGAAACTGAACCAGTCACTCTTCAGTTACTTTTCCTTGAGACAGGTTTGATAGCAATGCTTCAGCCAGCTCATCTAGCAATGAAGGAGATAGTGATGAGAGGAAGAAGCCTGCCAAAAAAGCCAAAATTGTCAAGGAACGCAAGCCACGCAAGAAGCCATCTGAGGTGAGAGCAACATCACCTTGTTAATATCAAGGCCATTTGGCTCCTGATTTATTCTGTGGTTAGGAGAAACCATTCTTGGGACTTGCCATTAGGGCTGGGAGTATCTGTGAGAAAGGAAGCTAGTGAGCGGGGATACTGTTACACATTTACTGTGTTTTTAAGTACTTTACACCTAGCTGCATTATGTGAACGCAGAACCTCATTGCCAGTTCTGAATTGGCTAGCAGTTTACACCCAAATTTGTATTGTTATCTAGCCATGCATATTTTCCCTCTTCTTCTGCTCATTTCACCGGCAGTTATAGGCACGTATATGTAGTTAATTCAGATGTAACTTCATCCAGGAGGGCTTCTGTGCATCCATCAGTACCCCTTTCTAGAAGCAGCCCTCACAATGTCTGGTGAGCTATCCCAAAACTTGGAGCAAGGTCCGGCACAGATCTGAATGGGTTTTTGTGTTTTCTTCAGTGAACAATGCTGATGTGCACATACCTTTAAATATGTAGTCTCACATCCCAATTTTTCCTATATAAATCAGTGGTAGTATAGTGGAAGTATGGTGGTCTTGATCAGCAGTTTACTTTTGACAGTGGATTAATTTTGAATTATGTCAGAGAAAGACCTTGATATAGTGCAAGGACTATTTTAAAACTCTGAAGAGGATTTAACTGAATTGCTGAGGATACGTAAGGAGAAGACTCCTTGAGCCTTAGTTCTTCTTTCAAGGAGTGGTAGTTGGGAGAAACGATTCCCAGTGTGGTGCACTTTTCTGATTTTTAATTTTATCTATAAAGTTTAAAAATATAGAAATATACAGGATACGTATTCTTTTGGGATACTCATTGTGGTGCGGTAGATAGTATGATGGACTGGGACTTAGGAGTCCATGGTTTGAATCCCCGTTCAGCCATGGAAGCTCACTGGGGGAGTGGAACTGGTAAAACCACACCTTAAATATCTTACTTACCTTGAAAGCCCTATTAGGGTCACTGTAAGTTGGTTCCAACTTGATGGTACAGAACACACACATAGTTGGGAGAATGGAATAAAATACTGTTGCATGTCATTCAGCTCACACAGAAGAAAGCTGCTTGAGATGGGCTTGAAAATGGGAAATAAATATTTGTTTGACTTGTATGCCACCCGATTTGCTTGTTTATTAATAGTGTATTGTGAATCCAAAATAACAACCAGTATTGGGCACATAATGGAAAGAGAAGCCACATTCTTTATTGACTTTTGCCTAATTTTTGCCAGTATTTTAATCCAGGGCTAAGCAGGTTTTAGTAAGATCTACTATATTCTTAAGATGAATAATGAGATCCATTTGATGATGTTGCAACCAGGTTTGAAGCACAGGGATTCATCATGACACTGTTCATAGTAGTGACCGTTTTGATCCCTATCATAAGCCACTTCTGGCAATTTTCAGTTCCACTAGAGACAGGTGTCTTGTTAAAGCTAATGGGACTTTACAGCTTACTGAAGAGCAATCCACTCCAAAATACTTCAGCACTATATTGATTGGAGGGAAATTCATTCCAACTCACTCCCACTGTGAGGACTGCAGCCAAGCTCAGAGGAAGGAGAAATGCCTGTGAGAAAAGTGTCCTTAGCTTTGCTGATTAAAAAAGAAGAAAATCCTAGTGCTCCCATTTTGCAGACCCTGACTCTGCAACATCACTAACGTAATCTGTTCCAGCAACATAGGTCAAGAATGAACGAGTCCCGTGTCTAGAAATTTGTTTGAACCCACTGTGAGGACTGCAGCCAAGCTCAGAGGAAGGAGAAATGCCTGTGAGAAAAGTGTCCTTAGCTTTGCTGATTAAAAAAGAAGAAAATCCTAGTGCTCCCATTTTGCAGACCCTGACTCTGCAACATCACTAACGTAATCTGTTCCAGCAACATAGGTCAAGAATGAACGAGTCCCGTGTCTAGAAATTTGTTTGAAATACTATAAGTAATCTGTTCCAGCAACATAGGTCAAGAACGAACGAGTCCCATGTCTAGAAATTTGTTTGAAATACTATAATAATAAACCAATTACAATCTTCTGTACAAAAATCTATTTCTGGTTACACACACCTTTTTCCTTTCAGCATTATAATTTAGAGCAAGAAGTGAGTCATTTTTCTTACTGTCAAGGGTTCTTACTTAGCTTCTTTGTTCGTCCAGAGATCCCAGTTTTTGTTTTGCCTACCCGTGATTTAATGGGCCCAGGCAATAGACATGGGTTTGGCGGAGGAAGTCCCACCCCTAGGCCCCACCCCCAGGCCATGTGGTCAGGAGACAAAAAGAAAGCCCAGGAAAAAAAACTCAGCAAGGCATCCATGCAAACAGACCTGACCTTCGCCCTCAGTTTGAAATACTATAATAATAAACCAGTTACAATCTTCTGTACAAAAATCTATTTCTGGTTACACACACCTTTTTCCTTTCAGCATTATAATTTAGAGCAAGAAGTGAGTCATTTTTCTTACTGTCAAGGGTTCTTACTTAGCTTCTTTGTTCGTCCAGAGATCCCAGTTTTTGTTTTGCCTACCCGTGATTTAATGGGCCCAGGCAATAGACATGGGTTTGGCGGAGGAGCAGATGCTGTGTTGGATGGTTTGGAACACTGGTTGTTGGAGGAATTTTTATCCTTGACTATGAACAAAACTCACAACAGAGGTCTTTACACATTAGAGGGTAGGTCAAGAGGAGTCTGCAGGATGTGTTAGAGAAAGGGGTTGTTTTTACCATGTGATGGATTGTGCTTTTTCGATTCTTTTCCCACCCTACCCCCAGGGTAAAAAAGGGAAAGATCCCAATGCCCCCAAAAGACCTTTGTCTGCCTACATGCTCTGGCTGAATGCCAATCGTGACAAGATCAGGTCAGACAGTCCTGGCATGAGTGTCACTGATGTGTCCAAGAAGGCTGGAGAACTGTGGAAGGGGATGTCCAAGGAGAAGAAAGAGGTGGGTAAGGAGACGGTGACAGCTGTACTCTTATTTTATGTCGGTGGGAGTGTAGGGTTATGTGCTTTCTTGGAAAGGCTTTGATCAAATTGCTTTGTAGCCTGCACCATAAATTCAGACTTTGCCTCACTGAAATGTAAGTTAAACACTGTCCAGTATATTTATCCTTGTGGTTTTTAAGGTTTTGTAATTCAGGCAAAAAGGTAATGGGGATTATGATAGTTTTAAAAAATTGCATATGACTCCAGTTGCTGGAGATCAAACTGTGTGTGTGTGAGAGAGAGAGACCTTATTATCCTGTTTGTGGCCTTCTCAGAAGTACTATGAGGGCTAGATTTAGCTCAGTAGTTGAGGGCACACTTTGCATATGCAACACTCCATGCTCAACCCCTTGCATCTCTGGGTAGAACCAGAAGGATAGCTAAAACTCCATAGAACTGTTGTCATTCAGTGCAAGATCGAGCAGTAGTCTGAATGGTCATACGTAAGCTAGTCTTCTGTGTACCTGTCACAATGGCTAAGATGGGAAATATTTTCCTGGAGTAGAAGGACTCTTGGTTAAATCTAGCATTGCTGCCTTTACGCTCACACAAGATCAAAGAATGTGAACAAAAGACCCAGAGTTTTTCAGGACTCAGCAGTCTCTTCCTGATCTTCATGCTTTCCTGCGGCTTTACAACACCCCATAATTGATTTCCTTAGGACTCTGTAACAGGACATTGATACATGAGCATCAGTGCCTCTTCATATATGAGTGACAAGTACAACTTAACTGGATCTGTTTGCAGGAATGGGAACGTAAAGCTGAAGAAGCCAAGAGGGACTATGAGAAGGCCATGAAAGACTACAGTGAGGGGGGCAAGTCGGACAGCTCCAAAAAGTGAGTAGCCCTGTTTCCTTGGATTTCCCTTCCCTGTCTCTACTCCCCCCCCCCGAGGATTCTGTCATTGCAGGGCTTTGTCTGTTTTTTCACATGTGCAGAGAAAAATCCAAGAAGAAAAAGAAGCCAGAGAAGCCAGGGAAAGGCAGACCAGAGAGGAAGGCTGCTCCTCCTCCAAAATCTGTTACCAGCAAGAGTCCTTTGAAGCAGCTAGGCGGCGAGAGCTTTAAGAGCAAGGAATTTGTTTCAAGTGATGAAAGCTCCTCGGGCGAGGACAAGAAGGAGGTGGGTGTTCTGTTGTACCAGTGGAGTAGAGAGAGGAGAGGTGTGTGCGTGCGTGCGTGCGTGTGTGCGTGCGTGCGTGCGTGCGTGTGTGCGCTCCATCCGAGACATAACTCTTGTTACGAGTTCTTTCCTTCATTAATGCCCATTCCACAACCTCCTGAAAGTTGCGGGCTGGCCTCTGACCCTGAATGCAACGTTCTGCAGCACTTCTACATTTGCTCACTTGCACTCTTGATGCAATGCATTCTACTCTCCAGAAAATGTATTGGTAGTATTTGGGCTTTGACAGAATTGAGATTATTTTGCAATGACCAGTTTTACTGGGCAGTATGACTCGTCAGATGCTTGAGGATAGGAAAGACAGGAAGTCACAGGGAGGAACTTCGCTTTGTGGTGTATGTAGATTTCACATCCTATCAAATGGCAAATCCTGTTTAAAGCCTTCTTTGTTTTCCGTATCCATATATTTGTTGCATCCATGAAAGCTGGTAACAAGGTATTCCAGAAGTGGGACCTGAGATTTTCCTAAAGCCAGTTCTTTAGGAATCTATACACACACATTTATTTATTTGTGATATTTCCACCCTGGTTTTCTCCTCTAGAGGACCCAAGGCAGCTTACAGTATTGAAACGAACAATATAAACACTGAAAGATGGGGGGGGGGGAAACAAAAGTTGAGAGACCGTGCACTAAAGCAATATTTCCACTGTCTTTTGGTTTCTTTGCTCTCTTGCCTGTTTTTGATTGCCTTTTGCTGATCTCTATCCACTTCAACTGTGTTCTGCACAATACTGTTTCTCATGTAGCAAAACACTTGTGATGCATAAGGGAATTTCAGTTTTCTTTGGACTTTCCATTCTTCGTGCAGCTTAAACGTCCTGTTTATTCTTCATTGCAGTTGGGTGTTGAGCTGAGTCAATAGAGCCAGTCCTAGCGATCACTACCTTGATCTGCCAGAGCTGATTCTGTTAGTAGAGATCTTGAAGATACACTGTTAATTTTGAATATTTCTCCCTTCCTAACTTGTTCCTCCTTTTTCCCTCCTAGGACTCAGATGAAGAAGAGATTGCCAGCACTCCACCTAGTTCAGCAGATTCTGGCTCTGGATCAGATTAGCAGGAAATTACCCACACGACCACTTGGGTTCCCTTATCCTCATTACAGGTGGTGTGGCTGTTATGTTTCTGAGGTGGGACTTACTGGACACAGTTTCATCCAGAGAGGTAGACTGGAGAGCTGGTGCCATGTGGGAGTATCAGCCATGCTTCAGTGGCCTATTAAGCTCGTTCCCTGTCTCAGTATTGCAGGTTGTAGTCAGGGCCAGTTGTTACATCTGAAGAGGGAGGATGCTACTAAGAGAGAGGGAGGATGGAGAAAGCCAATCATCCCCCCCCCCAATCTCTATGTTGTTCTAGATGCACTGTATCCTGTTAGAGGGTGTTCTGGGCAGCATGTGGCATACAGCTGGGACACTATGCAGCCTCACCAGTCAGATTCAAATGGTGTTCCTCCCGTTTATTTTCCCTTTCTTTTTACAAAATTCTCTTTGTATTTCTGTTTTATTGTGGCTGATTTAATAAAAAGCAAGTGAATTTGAGTCAGATTTATTCTTCTGTAACCCAAAGTAGGGATTGGACAAACATACAGCAGTTTGTTGAACCAAGATGCATGAAGAATTAAAAACCACAGAGAGTGCTACATCAGCTGCTTCACAGCAACACTTGCCTTGCCTCCCCCCACCCCATTTTGATTCGAGCCAGTAATTTTTTTTCATAGGGTTTTGAGTGGGAACTGCATCTTACATCTTGGACCAACAGCTTAACAGTATTCCCTTCCATTATCAGCTCTGCTAATTGTGTTTAAAGGGCTTATGTGTACTACTGGGACTTGGCTAATGCAAGCAAGCAGTCAATAGTTATGAAGTCTTACTGTGTTGAAGACTCCATCAGCAATAACCTCTGAGCATCACCAGTATTAACACTTGGGACTGGGTTTGGTTCCTGTGCTTGCCCATAGCTGTCAGTGATGGCCTAAAAGGTAATTTTTTGCATGTACACGTGCTTGTTCGCTCTCCAGTGAAGGGGAATTTTTCTTAAGAAGCTGAAGACAATTCTCTGTTCCCCCTTTGTGGTACAGTTTCCTAGTCTCAACTAGTGTGGATACTTACACCTCTGTGTGCATGCCTATGGAATGAATAGTGGTGGACCTGCATTGGTCTCTGAATATATGTTTCTGGCTCTTTACGTGGAAGAGGTGTTTTTGTCCAGGTAGCTGTCTAAGGCTTCATCAATTAACATCGTTGTGCGAGGCACCACTGTATATGTTTCTGGCTCTTTCCACGGAAGAAGCGTTTTTGTCCAGGTAGCTGTCTAAGGCTTCATTAGCACTTCTGGAGTTAATGTGGGTGAGTAAAAGTTGAGTTGGGGCTTCATGGCTCTTCCCATGAAATTCATTAACTGTATTGGGCCAAAGAATAGGTCCACCTGCCTTAGCATTCTGTTCCTTAGATACAGAAAAGCCATTGGGGAAACTTACATGGCATGATGCATTTTAATTAATTATGGTATTTGTTATTTTGGTTAAAATCCTCCTGGCCCTTAGAATTTGTATTATGCTGTGCTGTCACAGTGCTGGCAGTAGGTTCAATATGCTAATCACACATTTTGCTGAATAATTTGTTATATCAAACCAAATATTTGGATATCCCAATGGAGAACTATGAGCTTTTGTGTTTTTATGGGGGGGGGAACTGTCCAATATTTCTAATAATTTTATGAACCCATCTTGCCTTGTTTCAGTTGTCTGGCACTCTCTTCCCAGCAAACATGCCCAACAGAGTCAGGTTTTCTTTCTAAAGAAGATGATAGCCTTCAAGATTTTATTTTTCCTCTTCCTTTTTAGATGTATAGTACATCTTATGAGATAATAGCCAGAACTCTGCACATTAATGGAGAACATTTTTGCAGTGCCAAGTTCCATAGATAGATTTTTGTCTCTTTCAGAGGAAAGAATTGCTGGATTTAGGTGGTTTAGGCATTGGAGTTTGATTCCCCACTGTGCCTCTTTGACTGGAGATGGACTTGATGATTCATAGGGTTCTCTTCCAGCTCTGGAGTTTTAAGATAATAGTGATGAACGTTCTCTCCCCTCGCTTTAATTCCCTAAACATGCTGTAAGGCAGCCATTCTTAACCTTATTTTGGCCATGACCATAAACGCAATATGAAAGAAATATACATAGGTTGAATCAGGATTGTGATAACAAACCTTATAAGGTGATGTGTGAAGAACTGTTTCCAGCCTGTTGTCCCTTCAAATGTGCTAGGGATGGCTGCTCTAAAGCAGTGGTTCCCAACCTTGGATAGCCCAGGTGTTCTTGGACTACAGCTCCCAGAAGGCTTCAATAGCTGTGCTGCTCAGAGTTTCTGGGAGTTGCAGTTCAAGAACAACTAGGTTACCCAAGGTTGGGAAACACTTAAGATCTGTTGGTGAAAGTACTTCACATTGTTTCAATAACTGCTGGGAAAAAATACATGTTGTGTGCTGTTAATTCGGAGCCGACTTATAATGACCCTAAATGGGAAAAAATACATGTTGTGTGCTGTTAACTCGGAGCCGACTTATAATGACCCTAAAAGGGCTTTCAAGGTAAGTGAGATGTTTAAGGATTGGGTTTACCAGTTCCACTCCCCCACTGAGATTCTATAGCTGAGAAGGGATTCAAACCATGGCCTCCCGAGCCCCAGTCCATCATTCTATCTACTGCACCACACTGGATATCCCAAAATACAGTGGGGTCTCTACTTAAGAACTTAATCCGTATTGGAAGGTGGTTCTCAAGTTGAAAAGTTCTTATGTTGAATCTGCATTTCCCATAGGAATGCATTGAAAACCATTTAATCCGTATTTGCTCTTTTCCGTCCATAGAAACTACAGTGAAACCTGTACTTAAGAACTTAATCCATTTTGGAATGGTGTTCTTAAGTTGAAACGTTCTTAAGTTGAAGCAAAATTTCCTAATGGTTTTTGTGAGTTTTTCGGGCTCTTTGGCCGTGTTCCGGAGGTTGTTCTTCCTAACGTTTTGCCAGTCTCTGTGGCCGGCATCTTCAGAGGAGATGCCGGTCACAGAGACTGGCGAAACGTTAGGAAGAACAACCTTCGGAACACAGCCAAAGAGCCTGAAAAACCCACAACAACCTTTACAGATAAAATTAGAAATCAGGAAAGTGCTTGCCCTACGACTGTTAAATGTATATACAGTATATATAAAAAATCAAGTGTATAGTCATAGTTCTGTGGTCTCAAAGGCTGTCGGATTTTCAGAATCTTCCTCTTTCAGGGCAGAGACAAGGAAACAAATTACTTCTGAGGGCCTGTTCAGAGAAACATTAGATCCAAAAGCCCCAGAGTCCCCACCCAAGCCTCTGGGAAAGAGAGAGGGATCTTTGGAAGCGGCAATTTGGAAATGGACTCTTTTTTAAAAAGTTCAAAAATGCCCAGTAAAAAAGGGGGAAACGACATGTCTACCTTCCATCCTCCAGCACAGAAAAAGGTTGACTCAGCCTCTCCTTTTTCCCTGTAGAAAGACGGCTTCACTTAAAAGCATGTTTATGAGTCTACAGCTAAATGGCCAGGTGGTTTTATCTACTGTACTTATGAAAGTAAACCACAAAATAATTCTGTGCTAGCTTGCAGTAAATCCAGTGAATGTGGGTGGGTGGGTCAGTGGCAGTAAGCCATGTGTGTGTTATGTGCCATCTAGTCTCATCTGACTTAGGCAATTTAAAATGGGGCTTTCAGAGTGGTGCCTCACTTGACGAGGATAATCCGTTCCAGCAAAATCGCTGTAGAACGAAATCGTCAAGCGAATGTAAAACTCCCATTGAAATGCATTGAAAACCGGTTCAATGTGTTCCAGTGGGCGAAATACCTCAGCGTCCAGCGAAGATCCTCCACAGGGCGGTCATTTTCGGTACCTGTCAAGCGAGGAATCCGTCATAAAACACAGCGGGGAGCCATTTTCAAAGCCTAACGATCAGCTGTTTTGATCGTCGTTAAGCGAAGAATCGGTTCCAAAGCAGGGAACTGATCCTCGTGAAGCGATTTTTCCCTATTAAAACATTGTTTTGCGATTGCAAAAACTTCATCATTAAGTGATTTCCTCGTCTAATGAGGTAATCGTCAAGCGGGGCACCACTTGTATGTAAGACACTTAAGGAGTGATTTGCCACTGTGAGTTTCTGTGGCCAATCAAGGATATGAATGCAAGTCTCCTGAGTCAGAGTCCGTTACTCTACACTTTGTGTGATGTACCATGACTTTAATGATATCTGTGGTGTGAAAGATAGCAAAAACATTATTTAAGTTTTCATTTCTTTAGAAACTTCTTTTAAAAAGCTTCCCACAACTTCTATCAAGCTTCTATTATCAGAAGGAGGTCCATGTAAACAAATATTTTTCTATATTGCTGAAATATCATCTTGATCAAACTTGTTCAATGAAATCTAAATCGGATCTTAGTAAAATATTTGCCCTACAGTCTCTTGAATGTGATTGACTACTTTCAACCAAAAGGATTGTATCTTGGGGACAGGATCACCAGCCGTAGGAACTGCATGGAAATATCAACCTATTTTCACTCGTAGGGGAACTCCCTAGTATCATGAATAGCTGTGTGGTTTGTTTAGGGTTACCCGGTGAGCTCATGTCAGAACCGAGACTTGAGTTAAAACTCTCTATCTTGTGTTTTTAATTGCTGTGCTTGCTTTACCTGATTATGTGGGATGCAGTCCAGAAAACCTTTTTGTTGATTCAGATTTCTTAATGCTTAAGATGACACAAGATAATTTGATGTTTTTCACCATTGAATTTCACTTGCCATTTTCTTACTCAGTCCTATGCTATGGAGGTTGTGCAGGTGACTTTCCTGGTCTGGTCTAGTCGTTGCTCTTGTTAATATTGCCTAGAATTATCGTCATCGTCGTTCCAGTCCAGAAAACCTTTTTGTTGATTCAGATTTCTTAATGCTTAAGATGACACAAGATAATTTGATGTTTTTCACCATTGAATTTCACTTGCCATTTTCTTACTCAGTCCTATGCTATGGAGGTTGTGCAGGTGACTTTCCTGGTCTGGTCTAGTCGTTGCTCTTGTTAATATTGCCTAGAATTATCATCGTCGTCGTTCAGTTGTGTCCGACTCTTTGTGACCCCATGGACCAGAGCACGCCAGAGTTTGGTCAGCCCATGGACCAGAGCACGCCAGCCCCCCCCACCCACTGCCTGCCAGAGTTTGATCAGATTCATGTTGGCTGCTTCAATGACACTGTCCAAACATCTCACAGTGTCATCGAAGCAGCCTAGAATTATAGAATGTCTTAATTCCTTTAATATGCATTAGAGTGGTGTCTTCAGGAAGGGCATTTGGTCTACATGTGAACAGCAGCAAGTGATGGAAGTTGGAAGCCTATTCAAATGATTGATCATTCTTGTTTGCCCTTCTGCTCAGACTGGAACCTTCAGTTAAAGTCTTTCTTCCCATTCTATTTCCAGCAAAGTTTAAAAGCTTGCTGCTTAGATTCTCTGTGGGCAGACTGGTTAGAATTTTT